TGGTCTGGTCGTTGTTCCCGACCCCACGCTCATAACCCGACCGATGCAGTCGGACCTAGGCCAGAAGAACACTCTTCAAGAACGTGAGACGCTCCGTCGGCCAAAACGCACAGAACATCCAAGGGTGCCCTCCCCAGGATGCACAAAAGCATCCAACAATCACGAAGAACATTCCGGCACCCTCCCCGAACCGGCCTCGATCTTATACCTCGGTCCGACTGTGCTCCCGACATCATCCTCCCGACCCGATAACTGCTTTTCTGAGTTGGGCCTTCCTCGAAGGGTAACTGGCGATGACGATGACGATGACGATCACCCACGGGCTAAAGCAGAGTCCCGTGCGAGCCAGCCCTTTGGTCACAAGGTGTTCGCACTTCAGCATTCGGAGAACAACATCGTCATCGTCATCGTCATCGTCATCGTCGTCGTCATCGTCATCGCCTCCTTGAGGAGGGCGGGTGCTCGGGGCTCGAGGTGCCGGCCGTGCAGCGGCGGCAGCAGAGGGCCGGCCGCTCGGAGGGCACCAGGCCTCCCCACTCGCCGGGGGCAGCCAGGGCCACGCGCGGGTCCTCCGGGATGCGGGGCTCGGGCCCAGGCCAGAGTGGACGCCCAACAGTGTAACAGACTGGCCCAGGCTAGACTGGACCAGACTGGACGCCCAGCAGTGGACTGGACTGGCGGGGCTCGGGCCCAGGGCTAGACTGGACTAGACTGGCTAGACTGGACAAGAAAAATGGGTACGATTGCGCAACAACGTTCTCTTTGCCGCCCAGGCCACGGCCACGGTTCATAGCATGAGCCTGCCTATTGCAAGTCGGCTTGTGCGGTGCTCCCGCTTTGTCGAGCGACGTCTTGTATCGCGATGTGGTTTTGTCACCACTGATGTTCTGCGGAAAAAATGCCCAACAACAAATGTAGTCCAAAGCCGACAGCGACGGCTGCTGGGCAGGCGAATTTATGTCAAATGGACAACGAGTGCGGTGATGCCGACAGCGAATCCTGTTCAGAATGAACAAGAACTGCTGTTGGACTTTGTACACCCGTTTCGATCCCCCCGAACTCGGCCTCGGGCTCGGGCAGGCGCTCCAATCGAGGCGTGTTGCGCCCAGGCGACCGCATCAGGCCATGTCTGCGCGCTCCCACTGCGCGTCCAGAGCGCGCATCGGTCACGAGCGCCAACGCCGTGCGCCTGCCCCGCGCACCAGCACCGCGCGGCCTAGCCTGTGGCATCGTGTCTGTTTGCTTGCCCTTCGAGCTGGCATCTTAGGCTGCATTTTAGCTGCCTCGGCAAGTGCCCACACACACGGGTTAGCTGTCTCGGGCCTTCGCACACGCCACTGCTAAAACTGTGGCGGCGTAGTGATCGTACCATCGGCGAGACCTTGAGACCTTGGAAGCAACCTTGCACCTGGGTCCACCGCCACGGGATTCCAAGATCCACAGAGCCCGGAGCCCAGGACCCCGTCACTTGGCCTCAACCACACGCCCACTAGAGAAGCAAGACGAGGCCCAGGCGCGAGCGCATCACGGGGACAAACTAGGCGAACGGACCAAGGAATGCTTTCACGCACTGGCTGCGCGTGGGCTGCTCCTACGATACAGTGGAGGCCAGCCCACAAGAGACCTTCCACAAGAAACTCGACCCTGAGACCCCAGGACGTCTATAGAGTTTTGTAGGAACGTCATGCTTTTGACCGAGAAACCATCAAAACCCACGAAACCCAGGGCACCCTGGAGGCAAGCAGGATGCGTCTTGGCATGGGCTTCCACTGTACATCTCCTGGAGCGCGTGCTCCCTGATGGACTCTCGGGCTCGCGCTCCAGAAGAGGCTGCGAGCTCCTCGTTGGGAGTTGAGGTGTCGCGTGCGAGCTCCGCCAGCCTGCCACGTGGAGCACGCGTCGGTGAATGGGGCCCTGGGACACACAAATAGATAGACACGAATCCCAGGATCCCCCCAAATTTTCATATCTTCTGGGTTATCGTGTTCCCCATCCCCCCACTCCCTATGTTTTCCCGTCTCTTCCTGGGGATCGACGATTATTGAGTCTGTGTGTTTTCCCCTCCCGAGTATTTTTTTTGACGCGGGATTGGGGAAGGCGCGGCAGCTACAGTATTCAGTACGTGCATTGCAGGCAGCCGCATGAGCCGCCTCATCTAGCCGAAGGGATACCCCAGATAGGGGGCCTGGACACCGCGTGGACTGCGTGGACTGCGCGCACAAGCAGCCGCACTGCCGCCGCGGGCTGCAGCCTTGCTGCTGCTGCGCTGGCGGGCGGCGCGGGGCGTTGCAGGCGCTCTCGGTTCAGGGCCCGGGAGCCGCCAGGTGAATTTGTGATTCTGGCAACCTGCGTGCAGACTGCGTGCCCCCCGCCCCACCCCGCCCCTCCCCCCCCTCCTTCTTCGGCCGCCTCTCTCTCTGCCGCTGGGCTTCTTCGCTGGGTAGATGAGGGGCATGCGTGACCAACCGAGGTCAAGGAGTGACGTACTTCGGCTACTTCGGCTACGGAGGTTTTGTAATATCTGCAATATTCTAAGGCGAAAGCTTCAGCCTGCCAGGGCGTCTTTGCGCCTTCGTTGAAGCAGCCAGCCATGGCTATGACCTGGGAGGCCTTATCACCAGCGTTCAGCCACTGAGCTTCGAGGATTCATGCAGACGCCAACTCACGTCTTCTCAGTGGCCTCCGTCGCGATCCACCTCCAGATTCGCTTTCCGAAGCTGGCGCCGAGAAAGCAACGGGAAAACTGTCCGCCACGGTTTTGGGACATCTAGGGTGTGATTCGCAGTAGCTGGCCTTGACATTGAAAGCCCGCCTCTTCCACACCACAAGGTCACGGTGAAGTTGTGGGGCAATAGCCCCCTGGAGACCAGCATCCCGAAAGTTACATTTCGTATAAAAAGTTAGAGATTATGCGCGCTCAAGTTCTAGCTAGGCTTCATAGGCTCATGCTATCTCATGTGGTCGCTTCTTGCGTCCAGGGACTCCCTTGGAGGCCCTGCGCAAGCCTCGGAATCGTATAGAAGGGGAAGTGCGGAAACGCAGAAATCAGGAATTTCCTTTAGGTGTTCACCGATTTGGTGCCCTCAAAGGCTTCCTGGGTTCTTTTTGGAGAGGTGAGGGGGGTCTGAGTTGTGGTCTGTCTTGCAAGAGTACACCGGGGGCCAAACTTGACAAAAAAAGAAATTGTGGGATTTCCATTTTTTTCCAGATCGTCGGCGCTGTTCGGCGCTGTTTTTTGTTTGTGCCTCGCGGGTTTTGTTAGCCGGGCCCTCACGGGTGTGGCATCTTCCAGGCCCCCTGGGGGTTCTGGAGGCCTCCTGGAGGCCTGGAGAGTCGTCGGAACGTGTCTCGGGATGCGCGGGAGCGTGTTGGGCCGTTCTTTACGTTCTCTGGGGGCTCCTTGGGGTCGTCTTGGGCTGTCCTTGGGCGTCTTGGGGCCCCCCGGGAAGCCAGGAGGCGCGGCACCGGCCAGATGTCAGGGGATGTGCGTGGGATCTCCGAATAGGAGTCCACTCTGAAAAAAAGGAAGGGAAACAATCCTCGATCTTCGAAGGTTGGAAGCGGGAAAATGTGAGAAGGCGAAAAACATTAGAACAACCATTGGAAATCAACGATTTTACCCTCTTTGGGCTCTCTCGGGGCGGCTCTCGCAGCTCTCTTGGGCCGTTCTTGGGGCCTCGTCGGAGCCCTTTTGGGGCCTCTCAGGGATCGGGGGTGTGTCGGGGGCCTCTGGGGGTCCGGGAGGCCTTTCGGAGGTCTCTGGAAGCCTCCTGCTCCTGCTCTTGGGCCCATCTTGGGCCTGTTTTGGGGTGGTCTGGGGCTATCCTGGGCGCCTCTTCGGCAGTCTTGGAGCCTTCTTGGTCCGTTTCGGGGCCATTCTGAGGGCTTCTTGGGCTCCTGGGTGGTCTTGGGGCGGTTTTGGGCGGTTCGTTGGAAGTTCGAAAACGCGAGAAGCCAAAAACATGGACAAAAACAATGGAAATCTACGATTTGGGCCTCTTCGGGCCGTCCCAGGACGCCTCTCGGACCTCTCTTGGGGTCTCTTGAACTGTCGGAAGGCTGAAACGAGCTGCTTGGGAGCGTCTTGGGCCATCATTTTGCATTCTGGGGCTCCTGGGCGGCGTCGTGGGCCCTCCTGGAGCGCTGTGGAGGCTCCCCAGAAAAGGCCGGGGGAGCGGTACCGGGAGCGTTCCCGCGATGTGGCGGGGAGGTGTGGGACCCGGGGCCAGGGGGCGGTATGTATATGTGTAGGTATATATGTATGCATGTATGTATATATATGTGTATGTATGTATGTATGTATGTATGTATGTATGTATGTATGTATGTATGTATGTATGCATGCATGCATGTATGTATGTATGTATGTATGTATGTATGTATGTATGTATGTATGTATGTGTGTGTGTATGTATGTATGTATGTATGTATGTATGTATGTATGTATGTATATATATATATACATACATACATACATACATGCATGCATACATACATACATACATACATACACACATACACGCATGCATACACACATACACACATACACATACACATACACAAACACATATCCATATACGTATATGTATACATATACCTATACAAATACATATACATACACATATACATATACATATGCTGCTGCACTAAAATTTACATGTACACTTACATAATTGCATACAGTTACATATGCATACATATACATACTAGAACCATCGCGCGCGCTTCGCGCGCGCTCAGATTCTAGCAAGCCCCAGGCCTTGACGAGTTCCCTGCTCCACTGAAGTAATGGACCACAGATGGTTTGAACGGGAAGTGAAGAAACGTCCATAACGCTGAACGCATTATTGGCAGTGGAATGTCCACGCATATCAATCCGCATTCCGGAAGGCTTTTGGGAAAGATGGCTGCGTAGGGGGGCGGAGGCCTGATGAACCGGGTTCCCAAAAGGCCTTCTGGGAACATGGGTTTGGGGGGGGCGTCTTGGGGGGTCTGTTGGGGCGTGCCGTCGTCGTCGTCGTCGTCGTCGTCGTCGTCGTAATGTCGTCGTCGCCTCTTGGGGCGCGCCGTCGTCGCCATCGTCCTCGTCTTCATCGTTTCGTCGTCTTCGTCGTCGTCGGTTCAAGAGGGCACTCGGGGCAACTTTGTGCGAGACGATCCGTGGAGGGCCACGAGAAGGCGATCAATCACGTTCCTAATCAACTTCCCAGACTCTCCGGCAGCGCGATGGTACTTCGGAGCCTCCGGACTCTCGGGCCCACGATAAACCATGTCCCCGGAAGGCTTTCGGGGACATGATTTGTTGGGGTGTGCTGGGGGGCCTCTTGGGCGTTCCCTGATGGCCCCTTGGGGGCCTCTTGGGCTTCCTGGGCCTAGTCGGGCCTCACTGGGTTTCGTGGGAGCCTTTTGGTGGCCTCCGGACGCCTACTGGGAGCCTCCAGGGCCAGAGACCTCGAGATATCAGTTCGCGGTCCCCCTCTGGGCCCCTCTTGGGGTGCTGTTGGGGTGCACTTGGGTTGTCCGGGGAGCCTCCTGTTCCGTCTTGGGGCCCTCTTCGGGGCCCCGTGGG